GGGTGGATTCAAGAAGTGGGTAATAAGTTCTGTTTCCGACAGAGATCAGAACCTTGATCATATTTTGAGCTTTAGCTTTAACTAAAAAGACTTACTCTGTCGGTGCAGGGAATGGGTGTTGGCCATGTTTGTTTATTCTAATAATGACATATTTCCGTGGCACGAATTTCATGAAAGAGGTACCGTTGTCCGACAAGAGCTTCAATAATGATGTTGTGAAGGTAAAGACACGAACATGAATTATTGGAATCTAAATATAATTCACGGTGACTCGGCATAATAACAGTCACATTTTGCAAGGCACATATTAGGGCAAATGCAACAGAGAAATGGGATAGAAAAAGAAGATCATTCCAGGATGCACAGCTACAATTAGCAGAAAAAAGACATGCGTATAGATAGATCGATCGATAGATAGATAGGTCGATCGGTCGGTCGGTCGGTGGGTGGGTGGGTGGGTAGATGGATGGATGGATGGGTAGAATTGTTTGGAAAAATCGACAGATTGGCAGAAAGCTGAGTGTAAGGAAAGATTCTCGGGCTCGCAAATAGCATAAACCCGACAGCCATCCAAGGTCGACTACGATGTTTTCTACGTGCGAGAGGGAAAGGGAAAAAACTTTTGTTACAAACAGGAACAAGACGACTTGGCGAGAGAGGAGCAGTTATCCCATGACAGAAACTCCACGAGGGATAATCTTGTTGAAGTGTTGCCAAGTTTTAGATCTTCTCTTTGTCTGGAACCGCATCGTCATAGACGTAAGCTCAGTTGTTAGTTTTTGGTTCCATTTTCACACACCCTCTGGCTTACTCATGTACATGCCTGAGCGGGCATGTGAGTGTGTGTTCATGCGATCGTATGTGTGTGGTTTTGTATAATATGTATGTGTGTGGTATTGTATAATATGTATGTGTGCCAGTGTATATGTGTGCGTGTCTGTGTGTTTGTGTTTGCGTGGTTGCGAATGTGTTGGTGTACGTACAAGTATACAGGAGAGGGGGGTTACAAGATCAACAGTAGCCTTTGAGTTTGTGAGTGAATGATTCTAGAATGGGGGTTGGGGGGGGGAGAGAGAGGGGGGGAGGGGGGGGGGAGGGCTTATATATACATTAAATATACAGGATGCGGAGAGAGAGAAACAGAGAGAGAGAGAGAGAGAGAGAGAGACAGAGAGAAAGAGAGCGAGAGAGTGAAAGTGAAAGAGAAAGTGAGAGAGTGAAAACGAAAGTGAGAGAGAGAGATGAAGAGAGAGCGTGAGTGAAACAGACAGAGAGAGTGAGAGAGACAGAGAGAGACAAAAAGGGAGTGAAAGAGAGAGTGAGAGATCGAGAGAGACAGAGAGAAGAAGGGCAAGGAAGGGGGGCAGGTG